GAAAAACATTAATTAGACAGTGGCCAATGCGCGATCGCCCCGTCTTTTTCTCAAAAATTTCTCCCGCTTCTGAGGAAATGGGGGGTAACACCAGGGTGATGGTACATCGCCGAGAAACATCCCTTTTGAATACATTGTTAAACATATGAAGATGCCTCCCACCACACCTCAAAAAAACGGTGGATGACGAAATATCAAAATGCTAACGGTCGTAGGGGAATTACGCCTGAACAGTATATAAAGGGGGGTTTTTCGCCAAACACAGTGAGTCTAAATTAAATCTTCGGCTCGAAATCTTCAAGTTGTACCCTGGTCGTCATCCAATGCATTCTTCAAGACCCGTTTAGAAGAGAGCAACTCTGTAGGATCACCCAATGACATAACCACTGGGCATAGTCCGAACGTACAACTCGACTCTCCTTGCAATCCTAGATTGAGTGCGCAACTTTAATTTCAACCACCGGGTCCAAAATAAAATTTCGACTCTTGGTATCAACGAGGGGCCCTGCTCATTATTAAAGCTGACCCTTCGAGATCCGTTTGTTGGGAAGCCGCCCTGCAGCTTCACCCACTCTCATCGCTACTAGATCAAGTGGACAACTTGATTCTCTTCACTGCGTCAGATCGACTGCTTTTCTTGAAGCCAACATCAACCTGGAAAATCGCTCAGCATACAATCCACTGCGAAGAGGAAACACCATCGTGAGATATTCAGCCTTTCAATGAAGCAGAAGTTTCGCCATTTTTGACAGCTGTTGCCAGATTGAGGTGAGGCAGGACATCAATTTTCATCAATTCTCATCAATTCCCTGTGGTATTATCCCCGTAACACTGATTTATTTCTTAGTTCGCAAGTACATTTTACCGTCTCACCGGATCGGATGGCGTTTCTCTTTTGTGGCCACCGCGAAAGTGTTTTCTCTCGATGACAGGATTTCCTCTTTATTGTGGTGTTCGCTAGTATTTTGGCCGTGATTTCCTCGGAAAACCTCGACTAACCATCTCTGATCATTTTACAAGTCCCACCGGGTCGGTAAAAATCACCGCTGTACAGGCCCGCATAACTTTTCCCAGTTCG